AGAAGTCTGAGCTCTGTGTATCTGCAGTGTAAGGTTTTGATATGTGATAGTAGTGATCATCAGTCTCGCTGCAGTCAAGGCTGTGTCTCTAGAAGGAAGCGGGATACTTCTTCATACAAGTGGAAGGCCGACTCCATCTTGGGACCAATTCGTCTGAAAAGGGATCGCAGTTCGAGTGGAAATTCAGGTAAGAACAAAGCTGATTCATGATCTAAGAACAACTCATGGCTCATCAAATGCTTCTCAAATCTAGTTGTTCTTAAAATATGCAGATTACAGATTTATAATAGAGATTTTAGCAAATAAGTGATGAGTTTTAAGCACATGGAATTAGTACTTATTTCTATCTGTTGGTAATATGGATGCCACAATGGGATAAGCTCCTGATACTGATGATTCACCATCATTTATATGCCTTTTGGACTCAATTCTAAAAATAAGTTAGCTTACCAACTCCATATTATAGATGCCACAGCAGATAAAGAATCAGAAAGAATGTATGTGAACTCCTAAATGAGTAAAACAAATCAACAAGCATCCCACATAATAGCCTATTGAAAAAAGTAGTTATTTAATTAATTAATTTATTTATTTTTTAAAGAGAGAGAGGGAGGAGAGGAGAGGGGGAGAGAGAGAGAGAGAGAGAGAGAGAGAGAGAGAGAGAGAGAGAGAGAGAATTTTTTAATATTTATTTTTCAGTTTTCGGTGGACACAACATCTTTATTTTATTTTATGTGGTGCTAAGGATCGAATCCAGTGCCCCGCGCAAGCCAGGCGAGCGCGTTACCACTCGAGCCACATCCCCAGTCCTAGTAGTTATTTTTTGAAAACAAAATCTATTATATTAATATACAACAAGCCAGCTTCCTTCGAAAGGACTGAGACTGAGATCTGCCAGATTGCATGGGAAAGAGACAGGGGAAAATACTTGAGGATGGTCCAAAATTAAATGGCACAAGAGAAACCACAAGAAATAAAAACTCTCTGTGATTTTATCTCCCGTGAAAGTGATGCTGGCAACAAATCCTGTGACTTGCGTATTTATTTGTTATTATTAGTTTGGATAATATAGGAGCAATTCTGGTTTGTAGTAAAATATTTCTGTGCAAAAACAAAAGAGAACAATCAAGTTAAATTTAATAACTTTTATAAATACATTAACTAAAAGGCTTGTATGGTGTCCCTTCGGCAATAGTTTGAAACTATTTGAAAGTTTGTGAATGGAAGCCATTATAGAAATACCCTGCATATTAGAAAAGTATTCTGTTATGAAGGAATAAACAAGACTGTTTTCTGTCCATCAAATAGATATTTGACAACCATGGGACAGAGTGACTATTAATAAACAAATCTGAATTTTCATTGGACTATTTATGCTTGAATTCCACATGGTGTTCATGTTACATCAAGGAATCAAACTATGTCAATCATTTGAAATGAATATATTTAAACATAAACATAATTAATTTAAATATTTGATAATGTTCCCTCTAGATTGTGTTGGAATTATGTGTTACACATTAATGTTACCCATTCATGCATAAGAGTCATTATGTTGAGATATAAATGTTACCAAATTTTTGTAATGCTAATAGTTTTTAAACAAATTTGTTTCCAATTACAGAACTTCTGCATCAAACACATGCAGACAAAACTCAGAGCCAGCCTTTTGACCGTCTGCATCTGTTTTCATTCGTGGTTCTTGCGCTGAACGCAGTGATTGTGGCTACAATTGCAGCAAAGCGTTTTGTAAATCAACGGACGGAATACAAATACCAGAGGTTGCAGCACCATTGACTAACTGGTTCAGCCCTAAATGAAACACATTTCTCCCTGATGCTGAAAGAAATGGTACCTCATGGCTACATAGGTTATGAATAAATCAGGAGGGTCCCTTAAAAATGCACAGGGCTTCATGTCATTGTGCCAGTGTGTCTTGTTGCAGGATGACTGAAATCACCAAATATCACATCTGTAAGCTCTCATCTTAGGAATGAAAGGCATTAATGAATGAAAATCATCTCTTCTCATAAATAGAAAACATTTTTTTTTAAGTTCATGGGATTAAACTCAGGGGCACTTGGCCACTGAGCCACATCCCCAGCCCTATTTTGTACTTTATTTAGAGACAGAGTCTTACTGAGTTGCTTAGCACCTTGCGTTTTGCTGAGGCTGCCTTTGAACTCACGAGGCTCCGGTCTCAGCCTCCGGAGCTGCTGGGATTACAGGTGTGCGCCACTGCACATGGCAACATAAAACATTTTAAACAAATACTAAATGAAAAGAAAAAGTTTACTTTTACTCAAGAAAAGGAGTCTTTAAAGTTAGGTACTTTCATTTTTTAGATGCTAAATAAAAAATGTAAATATAAAATGCAAACAAGGAGCAGCCAATATGCTACTGTCCTGCAGGGGCTCAGATTTGGAAAAAAGGTTTGGGATTCTGGAATTTGAAAGAAGATGTACCAAGGTGCAGTTGGGATTGTAGACATTTTTTATTCGAAGATGGCAGCAGCCCCCAATCTTCTCCATAGGCCTTTTTTTTTTTTTTTTTTTTTTTTAATGTGCAGGCAAACAAAGAAGGCACAGTGCCAATAGGTTACATAAATGAGCACATTCTCACAAGCAGATATTCATGACCTTGAGCCCACATGCTGAATCAGGGTGCTTATGACTTTGACTATATGCTAAAACACAGTGGGCTAGAAGTCTCAGGGAGGGAGCCTAACTCTAGCTTCTATATAGTCATAGACTCTAGATGGTTGCCAGAACACGACACTCAGAGTTCTGGCTTCTAATGTAAATCCAGCCATGTTCCTGAGTGCCCAACGCATGCATTGTACCCACAGGACACTGGAGGGAATACACAATGGATATGAGGGACAGTCTGCTCTCACAGGGCCAGTCTTTAGGGGCCTGATAATTTTCCAGATCCATTCCAGATCCTCCTCCTTTTCTTTTTAATATCTTCATGTAGTTCTTTTAAGCAGCCATGTAGTGACTCTCTTATGTTCATCACAGAACCTAAATCCAACTACTGCAAACTTTTGAATATTTAGATATTTAATTAGAATGGGAAAATCACATTCAGTACTTAAAACAGCACACCTGTCTGGCAGCTGCTGCCCTTCAGCCACCTCTTCATCAGGGACTGACCAGAGGTTCTCTGATGGCCAACACGGCAGGTAGGCAGAGGCATATCAGGCCCAGATGTGTAATTCTAAGAAAATTGTCAGATTTATCAGAATTATCAAGTACTATGTCTCACTAGAGGGTGAGATCATGTCACCACGAGTCTGAAAAGTCCTCGAGCTGTACTCGTGCATTTTCAGTATGTATGCTACTGTTTAGAATTTTTTTTCTTTAATAAGCACTCTAGGGAGTGATAAAAGGCCCTGGATGTGAAGTTGGTGACCTGAGTTCTGGTCAGGGATGCTGCTCAGGTCACCTTCAGCCTTGGTCACCACAACTTAAAATAGGGGTTGGTAGCAGCTGCCCTCCCCACTTTGGGGTGTGATGAGGATTACAGGAGAGAACGTGCCAGCACTTGGGGGCCTCCATGCCCCACTCATCACCAGAGGAGTCCTCACTCCCACCCCGGAATCCTACTCGGAATCTGCTTCCTAGGGCCACACTAGCACTGTCATAGGTGAGGGTCAGATTGGAAAACAGGCTCTGATGGGAGGCTTCCTGGAATGTGTACTCAGAACCAGCAGGGGAGAGGGAAGCAGGACCCGGGAGCTGACAGGGTGGGACACAGCTGCAGTCAAGGGCCCAGGCAATCCTGCGCAGCCCTGGAGCTGGCCTGGCCCCTCAGAGGTCCCATCAAGGCACGGTGCTCAGAGCTTTGCGTGCCACCCTAGCCAGTCTGGATGAGGGCTGCTCTAGTCAGGGCTGTGAACTTAGACAAGACAGTTGTCTTGAGCTGAGGGAAATCAGCCACCAACACTCCCAGCAGCCTGGAGAAGGAGTGGCTGGTTGAGGAGCATCTAGGTGTCACCTCTGAGCAGCTACTACACCTACTTCCTCAAACAGCAGGATTTTCAGAATGTCTCGCTAGGCAAAGCCACCTCTAAGCTGTATCCAAGAGACTTGCTTAAAGTGTTTCAGAAAGACTAAAAACAAAGGGACTGGCAGTGGAATACCAGGCACAGACAAACAGAAGGGCCAGGGAGTAGAATCCAGGCCACCTGCATGGCCTCTGCTGTCCAAGGGGGTAGAGTCACCTTGTCACTGCTGGGCACGGGTGAGAGCCTTGGCTTGCCACTGGGCCCTGCTCTGACCAGCGCAGAATGAAAGTTTCTGCTTGTCTTTTCCACATAGCGGTAGAAATGGAAGTCCAGGCTCTCCACCTGGTCTGCACCTGACATGGGTGTGCAGGTGAAGGCCTCACTGTGGTCCAGAGCTGATGAGCATCCCAGTGCCCACCTGTCCTCTCTGACATGCTCCTGGTGAGGTGAGGAAGGAGGGCAGGAGTGCTGGCGGAGGGTGAGACACAAGGATCCTCATTCCACCTTTGCAGGCTGGGGAGGAGTTGGGCCCTGTGTTCCCATGATGATTGGCTGGAGGACACTTTCTGCCTAACAGTTTGCTGTCTTGCTAGGTGGCCCCTTTGCTGGTTCTTTGGATGGAAAAAACAGCCTTCCCTTGAGCTTCTCTTGGTCTGTACCCTTGGTGCTCCTGATCATAGGCCTACCCCTGTTTTGTGCCTTTTGATCCATGGGGCAGGAATGTTGCATAGTGACCTTGGCTTTCAAGCCTTAATAGTCTTAAGAACCATTTCAAGTGTTTTCGATAGAGCCGCTTCCCAGAGGAATTCATATTCAGCTTTGTTTGGACTTTTACTTAGTTACTTTAAAAAAAAGTTAGTTCTTTCATTGTCAGTACTTTCCACACTAGGAATTTGTTAAAAGTCGTAAAATGCTGGATATTCCTAGCTATTAGCCTTTACTTCCTCCACACACTGTGGATAGGCAGTCAATGGGCAGATGAACTGTGGAGAGTAGAAACTCTAGCAGCCCCCAATTACCCAGGAAAACCCCTTGATTCTTTTAAAGTTCTTGAATGAAACAGGTGTGAAAATTACTGTTTTATATGACTGAAGATGAAGTTCCTCAGGGACAAATAATGAATTTGATTTAAAAATGTCATTTTCACCAAATTGGCCACTAGTTATATTTCATCAATTTCTATGTGTGAGAACATCATCAAAATGTATATTGGCATCATATTTTTCTGAGGCAGTTCCTGACTGAGGACACGTCTGTAATAAAACTGAGATGCTCCCCTTAGAGGCAACACCTCTTTGGGTCACTTATCAGATTTTCACTTCTCAGGACCTAAGGGTTAGTTCCCAGATCCCACTGGGAACTGCCCTCCTCCCTGAGGGACTGGATGTCTGTAGTCTCAGCTCAGGCATGCTGTTTATCCACAAAGGCCAAAATAATTTCTTGGAGGTGGGGACTCATATTTTCTTTTTTTTTGTTTGGTATGGGGGAGTGAATTCAGGGGCACTCAATCACTGAGCCACATCCCCAGCCCTATTTTATATTTTATTTAGAGACAGGGTCTCACTGAGTTGCTTAGCACCTTGCTATTGCTGAGGCTGGCTTTGAACTTGTGATTCTCCTGTCTCAGCCTCCTGAGCTGCTGGGATTATAGGCATGCACCACTGCACCTGGCTCATACTTTAAATATTACAATTGAATATTTCTTGAGAAGTGAAAGAAAAAAATAAATCATCTGACTGTGTCTTTCAATACAACTTTGAAGGTAGTGAGTCTAGGCAGGTCTCTTCCAGTCAAGAGAAATAGATTAAAGTGGGTGCTGTCTCCTTTAACAGGGGATGCTGGGATATGCTTGTCTTTCCTTGTTTGCTTTTAAATTTCTTGTGTACTTTTCAAATTTTCCAGATGCTTTTGCAATCTGAGAACCAGACTGAGAACATGAGCATGTGGGTTCTTGGCAGCTCAGAGAGCGGACGCTGTAGTTCTTGATTTATGCATTGGCCTATCTTTGTAAGCTGCAACCTAAACCCCACAAAGCTCCACCTAGTTCCCTTTGAAACAGGACAATTAAAGCTTGTTTGGTGAATCAATGGCATGTGTGATTCAACTGTCCTGTATTAGAGTGTAGAGAAAAATGAGCAGTGGCTTCCTGACAGGTGCTTGGTTTCTTTTTCATAAGACTCTTGGTGAGATTTGAAAATAATTCTCACACCACAAGTGGGATAGAAGCAGGGATCCATCCACTTATTAGCATCTGAATAATAAGGAACCAAACTGAAGACATAATCTTTAAATTGGCCATAGGGTAGGAGAGAACCCTGCTTTTGATAATAGTTTGTACACTTTAAGACAACAGTTCTCGATAGTGAAGAATTAGAAAATCAGCATTTTGAGCCTACAAAGAGTAACTGCCTTAGAAGTTCGGTAACCAGAGAAGGTTTATTTAGTGACACACCTCAGAGAAGCAATCTCTTCTGTTTCTTTCACCTGTCTCTACGTAGATAATTTCTGATTTGTCAAACACTGCTTCACTGAAGGAAATGGACCTTCCTTCCTACTTTCTAACAGATTTACATGAAAGCTGCAGACATCACACCAGGGTCTTGCTCTGAGCAGCTGCTCTGTGGATCTCCAGTGGCCCGACCACTGGGAAATGCTCAGTCTGCTTTTCCTTGGCCTCAGCGAGGCCTGTACCTCTCCTACTCCGCCCTGCACAGCTCTGGGAGCAGCGAGAGGAAGAGTCCCCTTCTCTACACACAGCAATCTCACACTTCAGATAGATCACATCGTAGCGGTCAAGAAAGCCGAAGGCGTTGAATTTGAACTGGGCCACATTCTTCTGGTGGGATTGGAGGTTGGCATAGCTTTTGTCTTTGATGCACCTGGTGGGAAGAAAAACCCCAAGCCCAAGAGATTAATCTTAAGTATAGTGTGAAATTGCTCTAAACCACAGACCTCTGAAATCCAGATGGAGTCTTTCTACTACCCACTCCAAAGAAATGACTAAACTGTGTTTTAACACTACTATGAATGGAAAGTCACTATTCCTAGCCACAAAATAAACACAGTGAGAACAAGGTAATTACATACCAGCTACAACTCTTGCCTTCAGAAGGATTAGTCTATTTTGTCCAAAAGGAAGATTATAAGTGGGTTGTATTATTTGAAGATTATTTAATTTTATTTTTAAATCTTAGGGCAGCCACTGAAAAAGTGAAGGAAAGAAGTATAGACAACACATCAAAAGGAGCTAAAATGGAATCACAGAAAATGTTCAATTAAAACCAGAGAAGGCACCAAAAGGGAGGGTGGGAGGAGAAACAAAGAACAAATACAATGCATAGATGTTTGATTTTAATTTAACTCTCTCAGCAACATGAATGGTCCAGATATGCCAATTTAGAGACAGAGTAGATAAAAAAGTGTAGATTTAAAAAACAACAACAACAAAGATTGAGCTAGAGTTACACATTGTCTCCAAGAAACCCACTTTAAAATCAAAGACACAGACAAAAGTACAGGGCTGGAGAACGATACTTCATGTGAACACTAATCAAACGAAAGCTGGGGCAGCTGGGTCAATTTTCAATAGAACAAGCTTCTGAGACAGGATAATTATCAGGGACAAAGAGGGACATTATATAACATAATCAACCCTCCAAGAAGATAATCTTTAACCAAGATAACCAAGATAAGGATTAGTCCTTAATCCAATTCACAAACCTCAACGTACACCCTCCCTACAGTGGAACATCAAAACACACAGGCAAACTGACAGAACCGCAAAGAGAAACTGACAGACTCGCCACCACAGCTGGACACTCCAATATCCTTCTATCAATGATTGGCAGGCCCAGCAGGCACAAAACCAGAAGGGATGTAGATGGCCTAGGGCACCTTATTAATGCACCAGAGCTAACTGGCGTTTCTAGAACACTCCATCCAAAAAAAGCAGAATACACATTCTCCTCAAGCCCAAGTGGAATTTCATCCAGAAAGACCACATTCTGGGCCATAAGAAGCATCTTAACAAATTGAAAAGAATAGAGATCACACAAGATACATTCTCAGATTATAATAAAATTACACTAGAAATCAATGACAGAAATATTGCTGGAAAAAAATTCCCCAATATAGAGAAAGTAGACCACACACTTTTAAACAACCCATGGGGCGGTCTCAAGCGATGTTTAAAAATATTTTGAACTAAGTGAAAATGAATACCCCACATCAAAATTTGTGGGAGATAGCTAAGATGGTGCTTGAGAGGGCAGTTCACAACATTCAAAATACATAGATTAGAAAAGAAGAAATCAATCATCTCAGTTTCAAAAAACTAGAGAAAGAAGAGCAAATTAAACATAAAGAAGAAAGAAAATGTGTTGGTTGTTAGATTCTGGAACCAAACGGAACCTCTTGCCCTAATACATTCATAGGGATTCTTCACTCTGGGACTCAGGGCAGGTTAGTGCCACTGCGTGCACCTCCTGGGCCTGTGCTCACACCACCGTGGCAGGTGCTGTCTTGCTCCTCCCTTGGCCTTTGGAGGAGTGATACAGTGCTTCTCATGGGCTTTAGACCGCTGCAGCTTTCACCCTGCTAATGGTGCTGTTGAAAAGCGATAAGGTTTTGGTGGCAACTGCCTATCCATTAACATTTTGTCCCTGTTAGGGGACAAGGGAGCTAGAAAGACAAACCACTTGCCTAAGTACTAATTTGGAAAGTCACTTGGTTAGCCAAAGGAGCCAGAGAAATCTCACTAGAATAACTAAGCTTAGTTTGGGAAACCCATCAGCCCATCAGTATTGGTCAAAGGGGATCATGAGTGGGAGTCTTAACCATAAAACTAGAAAGAAAGGGAGGCTTAGGCCTGAAAGGGTAGAACAGAGCAGCAGGGGTCTGTTCAGGAGTGCTTGGCATGTCAAGGGAGGTTGTTCAGGCTGCCTATTACTATATCCCCCACTGGGATCCGGGCTAGGAGGACCCCCCCACTCAGCCTCTGGTGAGGACCCTTGCACAATGCTCCAGGTTAGGATCTCCAGATCAGAGGCCACAGGTTCCTAAAGGAATGCCGTGTGGATATTGCAGTCAACAAGGAAGGACTTCCATTTTCCTTACCCCTTCTGGATCAAATCATACTTGATGGTTGTGAAATCATGGGGATCCGGAGAAGCCACACAAGTATCCACGAAGACCCTCAGGCTGGGATCGGCGCTATGGAGGGTGGCCTGGAGGAAGACCTCTTTCCTCTGGCTGTCGGAGTATGGTACCATGCCCCCCACAGGCTGGGACCCGGGAGACTGGATAAATGAAATGGACACATCGTAGCCGGCACCCTCTGTCTGGTCATCAGCTCCATGAACGACTTCAACTGTGGGCGGATTGTTCACCTTGCAGGTGAATTTCACCTGGGGCACCTTGTGCCGTACAACCACTCGGCCCGAGTGGCCCCGTATCCGGCCTCTGATGGAGTTGGAGTAGCTGAGGGAGCCGAGGTGTTCCTGTGAGGACAAGAGGGGAGCTGGTGGCCAGTGCTCCTGGCTCCCTGACAAGCACCTGCCCCGAGACCTCGCCTCCCTCTCCTGATGGGCACCAGCTCATTGATGTGCTGGAGGGCACTCCTGGACCTCTGGGGAGCTTAATGCCAGGAAGGGATAACACAGTGTGTGGGTGCTGTGGGAGCTCCTGGTGGGCGGGAACCCCCTCTCTCTGAGGGCCAAGCTGTGCCCCTATGAGCTGGGTGTCAAGCCCATGATGGCAGCCTAGAGCTTGCTCTCTCTTGAGTCCCTGAACATGCTCCACTCTCTCAGCCACCCCCAGGCCACCCCATGCTGTGGCTTGTGTTTCCTGCCTACCCTTGAGCCCCAGACCAGTCTGGCTTCAGGTGAGCTTCAGGCCTGACCCTGCGGCCGTTGGCCCCAGCCTTGCTCCTTCAACTCCAATGTGACTTGCAGAGGATGAGGGGATGCTGACAGCGGTCCCTGCCTCTCGCTGCCTCCTTCCTGTTCCCTGCGTGGAGGTCTAGAGGCTCAGCTTGTGTAGGGCCTTTGGCTGAGGAAGCTATAGCATCAGGACTCCGATCCTGGACTCCCTGCCTCGGGGCCCTTCCCTCTCTGCCCTCTCTGCCAGCTGAGGCCAGTGCTTCTCAACCTTTTCTCCATTATGGTCTTCGGGAAGGAGTTTTCTAGACCCTTTCTTTCCTACTCATCCTGTCCTCTTTCCGGCCCCCATAATATGACAAATATATCATTTGTGTAATACTCGCATTTTATCCACAAAGGAAGATTTTATTGCTTTTGCTCCTAAGAACCAACATCTAGCTCTCCTCCCTCACAAGGGGTAGAACTGCCCTCCTTGAGAATGTACAGCTTAAAACAGAAGCCAAACTCCATGCCACGAGGCCCTGTGCCCTTCTAATCTGCCCCTGGACTCTGGCCCTGAGTTTCTTCCTCACCCACCCACAACCAGCTTGTGGCTGCCCCACCCTGCTCTAGCGGAGGCCTGGCGCGCCTCTCCTGTGCCTACCCGGCCGCTCCACCTCGCCACTCAGCCTCGGCTCCTCAGCCACCACTGTTTAAAGTGGTATCCCTTCCGCCCCATGCCATGTCCCAATGACAGTTCTTGTTTGATGACCTCTTTCCCCTCTTCACTACTCAAAAGACTCGTTCAGGGCTCAGCTCTGTTTCCTTGAACAGAAAAGCCATAGGGCAGGAACCGTCAGTTCTGCGGCTGCCATGTCCTTAGCACCTAGGTGACTGCTCAGCCACTGACTTTGAAATCAGACTCAGAACCTTCCTGTGACAATGTTTTCCTCAGGGTGCCCTTGGACTGGCCTCCATCCTCTGTGGTTGCTGACTGCTGTGCTCTGAGGTCAGAACATGGGCTTTTCTAGGCCAGCTGGACCAGCCAGGGCCAGGCAGGACATCTGTAGGATCCTCCCCATAGACCAGCAATGCCTGGGGCTGCCCACCTTCCAGACATGTGGGGGCTTCCAGCATGGCCCTGGGGGCAGGGACCTCTGAAGTGGACCACAGAAATGAAAGGATAAGAATGACCATGGTCTGTCATTGAATCACCATTGATCTGTCATATCAGATCAAATGTGAAGTATGGAATTCATGGTTCTTTTGGGTCATGTAAATCGTTTGAATGAATCTGACCTCCAACAACGTCAGGTGGGCTTTTTGTAGGTGTCTAAATGGGGATTAAGGATCTTGCTTTGGAACATATTATATCGTTAATTATACTGAGAAAAAAGGATGACACAGTTGTACATTTTTCCTACAGCATTAGTATGCTAGTTTCCTAATTTCAATGTCATGGTTTTGTGAAATAAACAGGTAGTTAAGGAAAATTAAATAGGCATATAAACTTGCTATTCACAAATATTCTAGATGTCTGCTTTCCAGTTTGTGGAACATAGCCAGGTACTTGGTTTGAAATACAACAGACAAACAATCTGTCCTCCCTCATCTGCACAACAGCTGCACATGGCAGGTGTGCCCTAATGCCCAGGCTAGAAGTCTGCTGTGGAAAATGCTTTGGCTTCAGAGCTAAGAGAATACATTGATCCACTCGTCCATCCATTCACATATCTGTCACACATCAGCACTCAACACCTGTTGCAGCGTATCCCAAGTTCAGTGTCCTAAATTCCCCAGAGGACGGAAAGTTTCAGACAAATTATTGAGCTTCCCTAGGTCTCCAAAAACTGAGAAATGAAGTCATGGCTGAGTTTTTCCTCTGTCCTGACACAAGTGTTCAACAAGTAGTTCAGGTTTCCAAGGTCCTCTCCTTGGTCTCCATCCTTAGAAGGGTACCACCTCTTTATGGATTTCTTACCTGCCGGACAGTGCCGCAGTGGCCATATGGAATGTTGAAGATCAGGAAGCGCCCACTGACTTGTGGGCGACACAGATTATCATTTAAGTGGATGTCCCAGGAGGAGTAGCCCAGTCTCCGGAGATAGCCTCGGTCTATGACAGCTCGGAAGAGGTGGGGCAAGCAGAAGAGCTGGGCTGCAGAATGGGGAGATCTTGACAAAGAGGACCTGGTGCAACGGACTTGTAGGTCAGATGTGTGGGTGTGTTTATTTCTAAAAATACCATGGGCGGTGCTCTGGGCAGGGGCTGGCTCAGTTCTCTTTATCACCAGCCAGGACTTGACTTTCATTGACTTTATTTATATCCCCTGTGATGGCTTGCATCTGGAATGCCCCTCAGAGGCTTAAAGTTGTCTGGGGCTTTGGGGAAGTGATGGGATCCTTATCAGTGGATTGGTCCATTGATAGCTGGATGAACTACTGAGAGGTGGTGGGCACACCAGGCAGCAGGGCATGGTTGGAGGAAGTAAGTCACTGGGAGTGCCCTGGAAGAGTTATTTCTCATCCTCAGTCCCCCGACCCCCATCTCTCTCCTTCTCTGCCTCCTGGCTGCCATGAGCTGAGCAGCCTTCCTCTATCACACCTTTCTGCCATGATGTTCTGCCTTACCTCAGGCCCAGAGCAATGGAGCCTGCTGACCACAGACTGAAACTTCTGAAACCATGAGCCAAAATAAATGTTTCCTCCTTTTTTTTTTTTCAGGCTATTTGTCATAACAATGAAAACTGACCAATACATTCCCCCTTGTCCAAAAAGGCTTTAAGGTCAAATCACATCCACAGGGAATCCTGCCCATAGCACATTTCCCATGGGCCATGAGATGGAGCTTTATCTAAGAATTTAAAGGACAGCTTGTTTTCTATAAGAGAAAAGCTGAGCCCGGACCTGTCTATCTGGGTGTTGGCGTGGAGATAAGCTGGAGGCAACCAGTGAGAGCCTGGGTGCTAAGGGGCTTCTCTGCCAACCTCCTCCAGCCCACAGTGGACAGAAACCTCAGAGGTCTCAGTGGAAACACAGGTGGGTCCCCCTCACAGCAGCGTTTTCCTCCCCATTCATCTCCCTCTTAGCTCCCCCTTTTAGTAGCCTCAGATCTTTGAAGGAAGATGACTTTACCATTGTCCTTGGGCACAGCAGAGTCCGCTGGACCTGGCAAGGAGAGATGATGAGGGCAAATGTCAACAGAGCTGAAACACGGGCAGAGGATGCCGTAGACCAGAAGTGTAGCTAAGTGGTCTCGTCTGATTTGCTACTAAAGCTGGAATACAATGGCATGAGAATAGTCCAGGGCCTGCAAGGGAGAGGATGGCCCAGGCATTCCTGATGGAGCTGGATCCTGGCACGTGTGGACTAGAGTTGAGACTATGGGTCTCATCAACAGCAGGACTTGTTGGAGCAAGAGACAGTAAGCACAGGACTTCCAAGCTGATAAATACCATCATAGGCAGGAACTCTGGCTGATGTTCCATTTCATGAATATGGCACACTTGGGACTTCAGGCTGAGAAGCAAAACAGGACAGTACCCTGGGCCCCACTCAGCCCAGGAAGCATGGCTGGCCTGATTCACTCAACCCCTTCAGACATTCTGGGCCCCAGACCACTGGTCCTTTGGACACTGTAGTCTATGAAAGGAAACCCACTGGGTATATAACACAAGAAGGAAAAAGGGATTGTCATTGAGAGTGGGTCTCCTGACAGCACTAGGAATGGATGGAACTGCAAACAGGCACAATAAAAATGATCTAAAAGATGAGGACCCCATGACCCCAGTGCAGACTCAAATTGCTTGGTTCTCTGCAGAATTAGTGTTGTCACCAAGGGGCTCCAATAGCTTTCCTACTTGGGCTCCACCTGTATGCAAAACCAGATAGCACCTACATAAGGGTAAAGGCAATGGCAGCAATTCTTTTGATCACCTGTAAAAAACTAAGAATGGAACAGACAACATGAGATCAGACTCATGCAAATCTTAGAATTCCGTAACTGCATGAGATGTACAGGTCAACTTAGGGCGAACTGAGGACAAATGCAAGTGACTCCTACTCTATGCAGAAGGAAGTCATCCTGTGGAAGTCAGATGCCAAGGACGATGCTGAGTGACAATAAAATATATTCCAGGAGCAGGCGTTATGGCTCAGCAGTAGAGCCCTCGCCCAGCACCTGTGAGGCGCTGCATTGAATAGTCAGCACCACATAAAAATAAATAAATAAAATAAAGGTATTGTGTCCAAATACAACATAAATGTATATTCCAGCAGCCAAATCTCAGCCAAATCTCAGATAAAAAGGACACAAGGGAATCTGGGACACTGTGGGTGCCTTTTCGACTTCTGAGGGTTAGGTCAGGATGCCAAGTTGCCCCAAAATTGCGCCCTTGGAGGCCTCCTCAGAGACTGAAAAAGGAAGGGGACCAACTGCAGTCGGACAGAAGCAGGATCTACGCCCTTCATCATTTTATGACTTTAACTCAAACTTTTAGCTATATTTCAGAACAAATATGGCACTGAGTTGGAATTAAATAAAACTGAGAAGTCAACTCCTAAGCCTGATGGTTAAAACACTGACCACCTAGGTATCCTGCCGTTCCTGGGATGCTGAGTTTGGACCTGGGCGTGCTCAGGGGTGGTGCTGGGCAGAGCCTTGGGACACTCCCAGGCCCAGGACGCCGAGGAGCCGGTACCTGCGCAGAGCACGCTTGCGTCCTCGCTGTGCCTGCAGTTGTGTCGCGCCCAGCCCGCGTGGGCACAGCGCTCCAGTGCGTCCTCGTGGCCCGTGCAGCGCACGTCGTCCATCAGAATGGGCCCGATGCCAGGGCCGAATCGGCCGCGGCCCGGGGCGCCCAGCGCTCGGCCGCAGCCCAGAAGGCGGCACACGACGCGGGCGTTCCTGATGTTCCAGTGGTCGTCGCACACCGTGCCCCACACGCCCTCGTGCCGCACCTCCAGCCGGCCCTCGCAGCGACCCCGTCCGCCCGCCAGGCGCAGCGCACGGTCTGCGGGCAAGAGACAAGGTCAGAAGCTGCACCTGGGCGTCCACCCTGCACACCTCTCAGGTTTGTCACTTGCAGCAGGAGATATGACGCAGGAACAGTTCTATTTACGGTTTTGCTGTTCCTAGTTCTCTCTCTCCTTCAAAGTCAAGTTAAATTACCCTCAAGGAGTGTCCTTTATGGGCAAGCCTAGTTTCCCAGACACTTAGAATTTAATCTTGTAACAAAAACACAAAACGCAAAAAGAAAAATAATAGTACTATCAGGTAAAAATCAAACAACTCTCCTCCCAGTCTTTACAAAAAGGTTATTCTAAATTAAAGCTCTGTCCTAACTCATCCAACAAAATATGTCCTATGAAATTACTTTTACTGTTGATGAGTAAGAGCTTATATTTTAACTATAAAAACAATATCATATAACCTAGCTATTCCACTCCTCCATGTTTACTTAAGATGCATGAAAACATGTGTCCACAAAAAGATTTATACATAGTAGAATTTTCCATGCATATTAGCCTCAAACTGGAAACAACCCAAGTACCCAGGCATAGGAGAATGAATAGATTGTGGATGCACATTATGGAATATTACTAAATAAAGAAAAGGATCCATTACAACACATGGGATGAATCTCAGAAAAAATTTAAATAAATTAAGACACAACAGGGTTTCATATTATTTGGTTTCATTCCATAAGATTCTAGGGAAAAAACCCAAATTACAAAGCTAGAAAGCAGACCAGATGTTACCTAGTGAAGGAGTGAGAGTCTTAATGCCCAGGGGCATGAGGGAATTTCCCCGGGGTGATGGAAATATTCTGTGTCTTTTTTAATATTCTATGTTTTGCTCATGGTGGCAGTTACATTAGACAAAACTTGCAGATGTGTGTAATTGTATATAAGTGATTTAAAGAGTAAAAACAATCAAAAGAAAAACTTGTAGTTGTGTATTGCTTAACAATGAGGATACCTTCTGAGAAACATGTTGTTAGGTAACTTTGTTGAATAACATCATAGAGTGTACTTACAGAGGAAGATAGCTATGGTATCTCAAGGCCATATAATCATATGGGACCACAGTCACATATAGGATCACCATTGACTGAGATATTGTTATGGGGCACATGACTGTATTATGTTCATGTGCCATACCCACCGATGTCTAAATTTTTTTTTGCATGAATTGGCTTGTAGTGGCTGTATTTTTAATTTTCTGCACTGTTTGCCATATGGAAGAAGCTTAAGGAGTATTAATAAATCCCACTCATCAGTTTTTCTGGTGGCAGTATGCCAGTCCAGGATGACTGCTCTCCCCTGGCTTACCTGGCTGCTGCAATATTGGAAAAATGATACCCAGGCTTGTTTTAACTGGGACTATGGGGGCCGGGGTGTAGCTCAGTGGTAGAGCACTTGCTGGGCATGCTAGGGACCTGGGTTTGATTCCCAGCATGGGGTCAGAGGTATGAGTGTGAGTACACATCTTGAGTGAGGTCTTGGGAGGTGAGTTTTGGGTGGACCCATGACCCACAGTGTGTGTGTCTGTACATATACAAAGAACTAGCTCATAACAAAATTAAGTGCAAAAGAAAGAAGATCCAAACAGTATTATTAGCGCTCTGAAACAAACAAAACTTACCAGGTAAAGGGACCATTTCTTCTTCAACTGAAATTGTAACTGTAAAAAAATGAAATCCTTAAAATGAGTCCCCTCAAAGTCACATATTTATAGTCAAAGTGGAAGAGGAATCAAATGTATTCTCTAATTCTGGACAGCCATACTTTTGTTTAAGCTTCTACTTTTGTTTAAATGTAGAAATACTGTCCAGTAAGTTTTATTTTCTTGGCGTCAAAATATAATAAGTGGTCTTACATGCTGTTTAGTCTTCAGAAAAAAATAATTTATTCAATGGTCATAAAAGATATATAAATATACTGAATTTTGATCATTACCAGGTGATGGAGTCACTTTTGCTGAAATTGAATCTGTAGCTGCCAAAAAAAAAATTACAGTTGAAAAGGAAGCATTAAAATTTAGCCTCATTGTGATTTTACACTGTAGACTACAAGTTTATGAAAACAAGCCTGTTCTCCTGAGGGGTATGCACTTATTTTGTGGATTTACCCATTCAGGATGAAATGATCGTGTATGAGAAGTTGGCATTTTGTAAGATGGAGCAAGAATGATTCTCATTTGCAGCATCCACAACCTGTCAGGTAATCTATGTCTCTAAAGCTCATGATGACCAACCCAGGAGTGTGTTTTCTGATTTTAGAAAGGAGGCTCAGAGGGACTGTATAACATGACAAGGTCATGCACAGTTCAAACCTGTAGGGCCACAGAGCACAGATTCTCAGCACTCTGCTTTTCCTGAGCTTAGGATCTGGGAGTTGTTCACACCGGGCTCAGGTGACTCAGGGAGGAGGAGGGTCTGCGGCCACCACTCCGGTCCTCACTCTGAGGAAGGTCTCCTGTAGCAACAGGAAGAGATTTGGGCTGTCAAGCTTTCCAGAAGTGCCACCTGATCTGCACCCAGTTGACAGCCACAAAGAAAGCCTGCCTCTTGTCCTGTCGAGAGCCAGTGGGGACCACCAGGGAGGGGATTGTCTGATGTAAATGGAGACCTGGTGAAGGCCAGAAAGGAAGGTGGTGAGGAAATGCGAAATGGAGGGCGGGAGGGGAGGAGTGAAGGAAGCCATGTCATCCGCAAGGGAAAAGGAAGGACTAACCCTCGGCTTCACTGAGCTTTACCCCCTGTATGGCCAAAGGAACCAGGGCTTGACAAAGGAAAAAAGAAAGGAAACAGAAGCTCAGCAGAGCCTCATCACTGAAGATGTCGCTTTGCGGGGACAGGGGGGGTCCCACAAATGGATTCATTAGCAAAGCCTGGGAGCTGAAAGGACATTGGATGGGAGTTGGGATCTGGATTTGCCTGACCCAACTCTGTGACCTCAGGCACATTTTCCTTCAAAATGAAGGTGGTGGTTCAGTTCTTTACACCTCCAACGGGGTCCATAACCAGCAGCACTTGCTTCACAGGGGAACCTGTTAGAAATGCGGAGTCCAGGCTCTATCAGGAGCCACTGGATCTGCGCTTGAACAAGTTCTGCAGGAGGTTCACATGCACATGAGAATCTCGTTGGAGAATCGCTGGTCTAGGTCAGCTCTAAGGGCTCCTCTGGGCTCGACATTTGAGGTTCTTTTGTCCTGTTCAATCTGCCCAGCACCTGCCTTCAATGTTCAGTTTCATAACCAGTGATGGGGAATGGTCTGGAACCCTCTGGACTTGACTAGCCTCCCCTGACCTTGCCTAAGGAAACAGGAAGTGTCTATTCTAGGTGTAATAATTCTTGCTGGGCTGAGGATGCTCAGGAAGTCACTCACAGGGACTGCAAAGAGCAGAGAGCATACCTGGTGAAGAAGGAGCTTCTCCTGAAGGCGGGGGAGTGGGAATTGTGTCTGTGAATGGAGAAGAATGTTTTGATTTGACCCACAGAGTCTGAAAATTGAAGAGCAAATGAGCAGAATCAACACCCTCACAACCCGGCTCTCTGTGCGGGTGCTGGGGTGTGCTGGCTGGCTGGCAGCATGGCCTCCACCATAGCACACGCGGCCGAGCGGGCAAGGTGTGGACCCCAGTCCTGTCCTCCCCCGGGCGTGTCTGATCAAGACCAGGGCAGCAGGCAGAGAGTGTTCCTGCTGGAGGCGCCTCTTCTGTGTCTATGGCTGAGCCAAGGGGCGTGGCGCTCCCTCTCTGAGGAGGATGCTGGGCTCTCTGTGCACGGGTCTTGGGCCACGGAGTGAGCATCGATGCATGTGTTCATTGCCAGAGAAAAAGTTGATCATGTTTAACTCAGGAAATGTGACAGGGAGGAACATTACCAGAGAAAGCGTCCACTTCTGTTGAGGCTGAAGTTGCATCTGTGTATAAACCAAGAGAACAGGACACTGGGAACTGAGTGTGGCAGTGCTGGGTGTCATTTCCTTGCGCTTCACGTTGTGGTCCACGTGGTCATTAGTAGGCTCCTTTCCTTTTCTTTTTTCTCCAACCCTCCCTCCCTGCCCCTCCCTCTTTTCCTCCCTCCCTCCTTAATCTCCCTCTCTCTCTTTTCTTTTTTTCGAATAAACATGAAGGGTTTATTTAGAGAAATGCAAGTACTCCAGAGGATGTGGAGTGGGCTGTCCCAAGCAGGAGGTGGCCTCATGACTTCTTTTTTAGATTTTTTCCACAATGTCTTTATTTTATTTATTTATATGTGGTGCTGAGGATCAAACCCAGTGCCTCATGCATGCTAGGCAAGTGCTCTACCACTGAGCCCCAGCCCCAGCCCCAGCCAGTGCTGTGACTTCTGTGTTGTGGGTTCTCAAGATCTGCTTGGGATCCCCCCACCCTATGAACTATTCATTTGTGTGGTTACAGCCATTTCCACCTAAGCTTAGTGCACCTGTGGTTGCTTCATTTTCTAAACAGGGTGCAACAAATAAGAAGCAAAGCTCATGGATTTGAAAAGCATAGTGGGAGACTTTACCAGTTAGAGAGGTTGCATCTTCTGGGGTTGAAGAAACATCTGTAGATAAAGGGGAGAAGGGACTTAAGTACCTTTGGGGGCACACCAGGCTTCTGTTCTTACTGAGGTTGCATTGGGGCAAAGTTTTCATGAAGCCAACTAGTGTGATAAACAGACCTCTAAGAAGAGGCACTTGAAGGGATGACAGGCAGATTGTACCTGGTGAAGAGGTCACAGCAGTTGGGATGGAAGCTGCAGACAAACAGAAACAGCAAGGAGGTGATTAGTCATGCCAGGGGCCGTGGTTCCAGAAGATACAGGAACATCGCGGTGGTGCCTTAGATCTGCATTACTGGCCAGGCCTGTCCTCCTGATTTTCCAGACAGTGTGCAGCAGGCCATCCACTGCTTGCAAGCCATGTCCCCAAGCCTAGGGTCTCCATTCCTGAGGCCCACTCTTCCCTTCTTCCCGTGGAGCTGGAGATGACCCGTTTGGA